CGGAAAGGAGGCAGGGGAGAAATCCAAAATTTCCCCTATGCCTAAGGTCGAGTGAATTTTATATCACCTTTTGGACAGGTGACGTGAAGCACAGCTACGCCAATTGCCTGTCTCGGCACGTGGAAATATCCTACTGAGGCCAAGCTTCACTTAATAGTAGGCATTGAACCCCAGCCTTCATAAGGCTTCCGAGCACGGCTTTTTCCCATCTTAAGCACTACGCCCCAGGTTGCATCGCGCTTCAAATCCCGATCAATGTCGCTACAAGCCGGCGTCCGGTGGCCGATAAAGATTGGAAAAAGTGGGTAGCAACGACATCAAGTCGATAGTTTGTGACTATCAACAAATGGAGGCGGCCAGTGGTGATACACGACAGTTCGGAGCGGATAAGCGTGTTCTTTTCATCTTATTTTCTTTCTTGCTTGGTCTCAAGGATCATTTAATGAGTTTCAATGATTTTTAAAGATGGTGCTATTGGTACAGCGTGCGACGGCATTTTCCCATACCGGGAAGCTCAGACTGTGCGCTGGTCAACAAAGTCAATTGCGTAGTCCACAACAGATCTATATCATACACACTCAGACAACCTCGATTACTAATGAGTAACCTGGACAATTACAATCCCGGCAACTTTTCATTTTGCGGAGTTCTAGATCCCCTTGCCGTTCTCCATTGAAATTCGCTTGTTGAATGAGGTGCGACACCCGCCGAAGTAAGGGAATGAACACCCTCAGTGTACCCGAGCCACTGTATGGCCTGGGTTGAAATGGTAGGGTTAGGGCGGGTCTGAGTTTCAATTCGATAAGGGAGGCAAACTTATGGCGCGCCCGAACGACGCGCGTTTTGTAGCGGCCGTCATCCTGCATCATCTTCCAAAAGAGTCTTGAAGCGGAAGACGCGGTCATTGAGCCGCTGTCGCGTCATTGGCGAACTGGCATGGAATGGACGGAGTCGAAATGGCCGCTTCCGGCGCAGCGCAATGGGACTGATGAACCCTCGTCTCTACCCTACTCATGGCCCCAAAAATCTGAGTGAATACGGGCGTGTATGTTTATATAGACTTATATATTGGGTATCAGCAGCGGAGCTAGCTCCTCTGGAGTCCCAGGGATCCAAGAAATGGTAAGCATCAGGAGAAGAGGCCCCTCACCTCGGCTCAGCGAAGTCTAGCACTCTCCCTATACGAAGAGATTGCCTAAACCTCTTCACTTGCACAAATCTCATCTGGCCTATTCCCTTTTTATTTCCTTATCGCTGACTTCAGCTTTGCATCCCAGGCTATCGGGAGAAAACCTATGTGTATTCACTACTACGGTGGATGCAATGGGATACAGACGTGCAATAGAAGAGGATAAAAGCAACTTCACCACTGCTCCGGCGTATCCCATCACTCTACGGTGAAGGATACTTCCCAAGCAGTCCTCACAGGAACCCTGTAAGGAAGCAGGCTACAACGTTGCGATACAATTCATCCAAATTCAGAACAAACAGGAAAGGAGAGTAGAAACGATGAGCAGTGGGAAGGCAAGTATGTCGTGGAGGCCGTATTAGAGGGCGACATGTATGAGTTGGAATCAGAAGCAAATTGGGATAAAGGCGCATGAAGAACGGTCTAAAGCGCCCATAAATCTGGGGGAAGGAACATTCAAGGGAGAGGCAACTGTTTTGTGTGATAGTGAGGTGGATAACCGGTAAGTGGGGCGATATGTCTTGTTGCATGTTCAAGTTGGGCAGATTTTAGGAGGGCGTCCCCGTTTTCATAGGCGGTAGTGCGGGAGTGTTTATGGATGCATGTGCACGGGGTATATTGGCCTTGGTGGTGAGTGGGGCTTATTTGGGTTGAATAAATATTTAATAAATTTAGCGTGTTTACTTTTGGGTTGACGGGAGAAGCGTCATGAGGAACCCTTCCGGTCGAATGCAATTTCGGAAATGAGGTGGAGTTTGTTGACAACCGGAAGGGTGCATAGGGCGTCGGATTACGTGATAATATTGGGGGGTGATAGGGTGTGGGAAGTTGATGTACGGTGAGTATAAGGAGGCGCTATAGTCGCCAACTTCCAGACTTGTGACAATGTTCTTTATTGGTGGGGACCACAAAAGACATTCTCGAAAGCCTGGGCCATACAAAAGCGAAGCACCAGCCTCCACCAAGAGGACTTGGTTTTGTTTTGAGATGGGTCGTTTTGTCTTTAGGCGGACCCGAAACGGGTCTACCGCCAATTAGGTATGTGGCCATTATAATTGTCGTAATTTATGAGAAAAAAAGAGAGGCGGTATCACTCGGACACCAGCAAGAGGCTACCATGGGGGGCTACCATAGTTAAACAACCCGTTCACCACGACCTGCGTGGGACTTGCAGGTGTAAGGTTGGGTACAGCTGAAGCTTGCATGGGAAGTGTGTCATAACTGCCTGTCGTGGTGGCTGGTAATGGACCGCTCGGTGGGAGAGGAGGGGCGGGCTGGTCTGTGGACTGCGCTGGAACATTGAACATCGTCAACAAGGGTGAGGGATTTTGATTCCAAAAGACAGATGCTCCCAAGTTATGATCCCAGCCTGCGATATCTTGGGGCGGATGCGCGTAGTCGAGGGGGTGCCTTTGTATCTGTGGGGACAATGGCCAGCCACTTAAACCCCCACCACCTTCGAGACCACCAGTTTGCCCGCCCACCACGACTCTACTCGCATCGATATCACGAATTTGAACGGTCCGTATTAATGGGGACGAGGACGGTATCGAATTTTGACGGTGAGTGCGGGGGCTGGGGCCGATGCGCGTAGGGTACGGCAGGTAGGCTGGCCGGGGACTCCCTACCATGGACGGCCTGACTGACCACCCCCCGGGAGTCTGTTCTTCCAATTGTTGGTGATGCTGAGCCACAGTGGGTGCAGGTTGAGCGAGAGACGCCGGAGTATGACAAGAAGGTAAAAAGGTGTCGCGCGGCACCGGAGAACGTGCAGGCTCTCTCCTACTCCTTGACCGCCTTGGGAGGTAATGTCTGGTCTCCATGTGGCGGTACAAATTCTCCTTCGTCTTGATGTAATGAGGGCTGATGGTTGGTTAGAACCGATGCTCATCTCTCCAGAGGCAAAAGACAAAGGTAAGAAACCCATGGAACACTTACCATGCTGGACACTTCCATGGGGTCTTGCCCTCAAGCAAGCATGAGGATAAATGCTCTAGAGCATCTTGCTTTGTTCGCCAGTACTTGGTTTCACCCTCCGTCGTTTTCGAACAGTATGAACAGTCGATACCACCACAGCGAAGAATCAGGCCCCCAAGAGCTGGCATCTTCCGCTGTGTAACTCCAATGTTCGGATCTACTTTTCTCAACACAAGTAGACAGTTCTTAGGCAATGTTGGCGGGGACAAAAATGCCGGCTTTGAGCCCGTCGTCACTGGCGTCTCGAGAACAACTCCCAAGAACCTCTTGCCAAGCTCCAACTCCGTGCGTATCTTTTTCACAATCTTGATGATGAACTCCTCGTTATTTCCAGCATAAATCCTCAGTTGTTCTTCCAAGATGTGGACGGCCTCTTCGCCTTCAGTCGTCTGGATCCAATAGACGAGGTCAGCAAGAAGAGTCATGCTCTCCCGTGTGAAAGGAACTTGTAGTCCTTGTATACTGTTTTGGATCCGGTCCATGGTCTCTCGGAGTGGTCGCATGTTCTCGGAGGTGCGTGGTATCTGATCAAGTCGCTCTAACCAACTTATCCAGGTCTCTCTCGCCGCTTGCTGCACTTGCTTCGAAAGTTCTTCCGCTCTGGTAAGGGGTGTGGGGACCGCCGTTGTCGAACTAGCGGTCCGAAGACTGTCGGATGCTGAAGGAGGTTGATAAACGACCCCGGAAAAGGAAGAACAACGATGATGAAAGCCAGTGGCATCCATATCAACTTGAGAGCAACGACACGTTGATGTATTTGGGCGCGTGCTAGGCGGCATAGGGAGTATGGTTTGGGGCGTCATCGAAAGAGGCAGCTGCATCGGTGGGGGTGATCTCTCTGGGGTGGATGTCCTCCCTACGACGGAATAGAACATCACTGGCTGCGGGACTTGTTGTAGAAAATGTCCAGCAAGGGTATTTCGAGCGCTCGGCACAGGGCGCCTCTGAACTGGCTGTTGTCCTTGAATACCAAGGTTTGGGTACCTCCCAGTACCTTGTGGACTATAGATGGTATAGTCCCCCTTCATATAAGCGGCCGATATTCCCGAACGGGATCCACCGAAAACAACTGGAGAGTCTGGTTGGAACATTGGGACAGGAAGGCCTTGCGACACTGTCTCACCGGCACTGGTGTCGAGAGAATTGGTGCGCATTTGCAAATCTTTTTCTAGCTTTTGGGTGCGACCACCTTGGGTTTGGAAGGAGGTATCCATAGGATTTCTGGTAGATGACGACGGCACGATCTCCGGTGGAACAGGGAATGCAGACAAGACGTGAGTAGATGGAGAATTGAGGAGGAAAGGGGACTGAGACTCGACGGCGCCAGTGACGGCTTGGGGGGACGCAGTGGCGGGGAGGGTAGACGGCTGGTGACTTGGAGTGGGGGAGCTAATAATGTGTAGAGAATCATGGTGCCCTTGGATAATATAAGGGTCTCGAGGCAGTGATGACACATAATGGCCAACTGGTCCAGGTATGTCCAAGGCGGGCGTCGCAGGATGAGCACAGCCGGTACGTGGTCCTGTGGTGATTGGTTGCCTATTGAGACCCTCCAATTGGTTTGCTTTGACATGCTCCGGGTTACGAACGGCACAAAAATCGGGCTCGCCATTCACTCCAAAGACACCGGTCGTTGGCAATGATTGCACTGGCCTATCGAACGGGCTGGTGGACGATTTAGGTCGACGAGTCTTCTGGATTGTCTTCTTCTTGGGCTTTTGAAGCGTTGCGGAAGAGCTATTCGCGTCGTTGGACGCTTGCCTCTGCATCGCCCTCAGCTTGTTCGACTGAAGTGATCTGGTTGGGTCACGTGCGGTCTCAGTTGTCCCCTTCAAGCAAAGGGAGCGTAGACGTTCCGAGTTGTAGAAATCCCGGTTGAATTATCTGCGGCTTATGCGAAGAGGTGGGGAAGAATAGATGGTAGAGCGAGTTGGGCGGCAAGGAAACTTTCTCGTTGATTTGGAAGGCGCCGGGGTCAAAATTGGGATGCAATCTTCTGGATATGACGCCTAATATGAGGGCCACTGCCACGCTCTATTCGCTGGTGTTGATGCGATACGAGCGACAAGTGGTTAGGTCTGGAAAAGAGTGTCGAAAAAACGGGCCAATTTAGCCTGAGCCAGCGAGGGCGGACTTCACCAAAGAGAACGTACGTTCGTCAATTCTTATTCCAACTAAAATGCAAAATAAGATAATCAAAGAGGGGGAAAATGGGAAGATGACTTGGGTGGCTGAGTGGGCCCAGGTCCAAGTTGAGCGTCAGTGGAACGATATATGCCTACCCTTCGAGCGATAACCTAAATATTGGTGGATTACTTCCAAATATCAGGTTAATCATTTCAAGTAATCAGGTGTCCAAATTTGATGCTAGGGAAATATTCCAGAAATTCTGCCCAAGTACTCTTCCCGCCACAAGAGCGGGTGCCTCTGCTCACCAGCACCCACACCGGTGAAATCCCGAGGCGATTTCTGCCATTCGCTCACACCAGCTCTGATTGCGAGAAAACCCGCAACATTCGTTCGGAGTCAGGTTTGAGCTCGCGTAGTAGACCTAATACATAAGGATTCTCT